GCACTCAGTACTGGTGTTTTTTTTTGTTTTGTTTTGTTTTGCCTTGGAGCTGAATCCTGGATGATTTCTCCCCGCTCTGCTTCTCAGCTTCCAGAAAAGCAGTTCCCTTCTGCTGTCTCTTAGGGCCAGCCAATCTGGGTGATCTCTCTTTTGTAATCAGAAGCCAAGTGTTGCAGGGGAACCAGACTAGGTGCGTGATGGGCTAGTCTGTGCGCACTTACAAACAGACTGCTTTCCAACTCCTATGTTCTCCATCCATGTTGGATCAGAATGGGTTGCTCCCTAGAGAACCCCACTATTAGCAACCTTGGAGACCCCGTCCACTCTCTGGAATCACGCCAGACCCAACAGCAGGGGGATTTTGTGGACACAGATTTCCAAGGTCCCAGCGCGTGCTTTTGCCTCTGCCGCCATAGTGGCAGCAGCTTTTGCAGCTGCTGCTTTCGCTGTTGGGACACAGACACCCCACGTTATTCCCAGCAAAATACAGCCTTTCTGTGGAATCCGCATGTCCGCACCAGTCGGGGCCCCCACAGTTGTGGTTTTCTCAGGTCTCAGGTAAGATCCCCAGTTGCAGCACTGATGTGGTTGTGGGAGGCAGCACGTACAATTGTTTACGTGGCTGCCATATTCCAGGAAGTCCCCTACAGGTATTCATTTTATGCCCTTGTTTCTGTAGCATGATATGTCAGGCAGACCTCAGGCACAGATTGACTGTGTTGACATTTACCCTCCACCCCCTGTCTCCTCTCAGTCTCCCAATATGTTTCCTCATTGATACCTGAAAATCCACTGTTCATGATGCTTTAGTATAGACTTCCCCTCTCCATGTTCTTCTTTTAAAGTGAAAATATCCTCATTTAAAAGGCCCTTTAACTGAGCACTCCAGTTCTTTCTGTCCACCTTCTTAATAATGCTTTTATATACACCTCCTTGTAACAAAGGGGTCAGATGCATAGACTCCAACCCCTTGGAGTCATTCTAGCCCTGCCTCTCTTGCATCTTGCCTAGACTTTAATCTTTGTGGGTCTCAGGTCCTTACTCTCCCTCACTCACCACTGACCATGGAAAGCTCCTTAAGTGGTTTTATTTAAACCACTCAAAAGCTAAAGACTTCTCCCACCAACATATAAGTTACCTCTCAGAGCTTCAGGTTATATCCTTTTAGACTCAGCCCAGTGGTCCGGACTGCCAGATACTTGTCATTCAAAAGTAAAGTTCCATCTTCTGGTATAGCTGGGAGGATCTATGCTGTCTTGCCCATGGGACTAATACTATACCCTAAAAACCCCCATGCCCCACCCCAGCCCTTTTAACAGAAACATAATTTGCATGAATTCTGAGGACACACAGACCTTGCAGCATTCCTTTCCAATGTTTTCTATAGTCTCTACAAGCTCCGTGAGCCCTGATTTTACTTCTCCATGCCCAGTTTCCCACAACCCCAAAGGCTGCCGTGGACTTGGTACATATTTTCTTCTTTTTCTCTTTTATTCTCCTTACTCCTCATGTGGAGGATATATAGGGTGCTTTGACTTGGGGCTTAATTCCAACACTGCAATTCCTTGACAGCATTCCAGGAAATTAAGAGCCAAAGAAATCAGAGGCTTTGGTCTTTTGTAACATCATCTCCCCCATAAATATCCAGAAGTCAGGAAGATGGTAAAAGAAGAGTAAATACTTTTAAAAACAGGGAGATAATTCTTCTATGTCAGAACTAGGATGGTACTCTTAGTTTGCGAATGGAGAAGCAGGCTCAGACAGTGGAGGAAGTTGCCCAAGGTCATAAGTCAGTTCATAACAGAATTAGGACTTAGGGTTTCAACCTCCTGACTTTCTACTATTCTAGAATGTGATATTAACTCCAATTCTAGAGCGAAGTGTTAAACATTGGAATGCCAGGCCTTGGTTCCATTCAAGATCATTTCTATTGGAATTACCAACCACAACCTTCCCTCCCGAAGGGAACTGCAGATGGTGGATGCAAACCAAGTCATCTAGATAGCAAAAGATGCCTGCCATGTTTTCTAAATCTTTTTCCTGGAAACAAGGCACTCTCACAATCCAGGGTATCTTGTCACAGCTGTTTTCTTTCTTCCTCCCTCCCTCTTTGGAAATGTGCCCAACCCCTGGCAAGTCAGAGGCTTTTTGGCAGCTACTACCACTCCACTGTCAAGTGCATTAGAATGCTCTCACAGCCTCCTAGTTGTCAGGAGTGAATAGATGATAGCTTCTTGGGGAAGGGCCCAGAAAAGCCAGGGTTAATACCTACTGTGGGGACTGCTCTGGGCTTATTTATAGACCATGAATGGGAAAATGTACCCCAGAGATTGGCACAAGTCCTTCCATCACCTCAGCAGCTATTCTCACATCTGGAATATAAATGGCACCACGTTGTAGCTCTCTTTCTCAAGAACTAAAAATGTCCCTAGAAATGAGGATGACATCAGAATTCCATTTATGAAACCAATTGTCATTCAGCTCCTCTTATATCCCTGATTGTGCTGGCAATGGGATCTAAGGATCCCATTACCATTATGTGTAGTAACTGCTATACCTCTTTCTCAGAGCCTGAAGTAATTTAGTTTGTTTTCTAGTACTCAATATTTGCCTTTCTATCTTCCTCCACTCATATTAGTCGCTTTGTCTCCCAGGACAGACCAGTAGAGAGTACATGGTTGGAGATGAGTGTAAAACTTTGGAGTTATATAGAAACCAGGTTCAAATTTCTGGTCCACCACTTTGGGCAAGTTGCATAACCTTTCTGGACCTCAGTTTACCCATTTGAGAAATGAGAGGCTATATAACATCTAACTCACAGGATCATTATGAAGATTGAATCAAATAGAATTGATGAATGTTGCTGCCACAATTCCTCTAATAGAGGGGTGCTCTGTGATGGTAGGTTCCTTTCCCCCTCTGCCCTTTACCGATTCTATATGCCCAAGCACATCCTCCACATGCACACTCACATGCACTGCTGTCAGACTCAACCTGAATCTGCCCTAGTACATGAGCTACTCTTCCTCTCACTATTTATTTACCCACTCATCCAAGAAATATTTATTGAGCAAAATTAGAAGGTCAGTGGAGTTTATGTTTTATAGCCTTGTGTGTTGGAAAGAGCGAAAGTTTTGAAGTTCAGACATACCTGGATTTGAATCTTGGCTCTGTCACTTACTAGATGGTAATCTGGAATAAGTCACTTTACCACTTTGAGATTCAGATTTCTTATCTGTAATATTTGGGTAATAATTTGAACCTCACAGTCAATGCCATAACTCTCAAAAGGGCTAATAAACATAAAAGTGCTTTATAGCTCTTTTAAAAATAAACCACTTAGAGATAGAGATGTGTCTTATACCTATCTAAGTCCCTTACATATAGGCATACCTCATTTTACTGAGCTTCATTTTATTGCACTTCACAGATGTTGCACTTTTTACAAATTGAAGGCAAGATCCTCAGTGAGCAAAAATATTATGACTTGCTTTATTGTAATATTTATTTTATTGCAGTGCTCTGGAACCAAATCCACAGTATCTCTGAGGGGTGTCTATAGTTGATAGTGAATAGTATTTGTTGATACCAATATTATAATTCAATATTTATTTTTGAAATAAAGTAGTGGAAGCTTCTTCTACTTGAAAGGACCAGAATATCCAAAGCAGCCCGTATATAGGTATACCTAAACGTATGTCATTCTGCCTTTTGGCTGAGTTCTGCTAAAACCACTTGAAGTGTGGCTGACTCAGAAGCCTGTTTTGGCAATAACATTCAGATCATTTTCCACAGAGGCCATGATTCTCCAAGTAGAATCTAAATTGGTGTTGGTTTATAGTAGCAATTTTCAACCTTTTTCTTCTCATGGCATAGATAAAGTAATTACTAAAATTATGAGACACCAAAAATATTTTGTGCCCATCTGCCAAAACAATAAATAGGTACAGTTTTGATTTATTCACACTGGGCAGTTATTGTATTGGTTGTCACCTGTTTTATTTGACAATCCAAGGGAAAATAGGCCAGTGTCACTGACTAAATATTCAGGTATTACATGTTTTAAAAATTCTGGTGGCACACCAGGGTACCTGTTGTAGCACACAAGTTGAAAATCACTGATCTAGAAGGATTGTAGGGTACATTTAGAATAACTTATCGCCACTTGGTTGAATATCCCTGGAGCAGTTGGAAGGAATCTTAAACAAGACAATGGCTTCTGACCAGGTAAGAATAAACTGATATGTCTTTACCCATTATTTGAGTATTTCTTTGGTGATGGTATCAGTTAGCCATGTTTGATAACTGAGCCAGGTGTCAGAAGACCTGAATTCTGTTGCTAGGTTTCTGTATGTACTTGTGTGTGCTTGGTTCCAATCATTCTTCTTGTGTAAGCCTCAGTATCTTCATCTCGAAAATGGAAGCAGTGCTGTTTGGCTGCTTGGCTGTTCTGAGAACACAGATTTCACTTACTAATTGGGTCTGATTAGATATTTCATTGGTTTCTCCTCCTATTCCATGTTATTTTAAACACAACCACTACTCACGTTTCCTTTTAATAGGTAGGTTACAGAAAGGGATGAAAATTTAGAACTCTTTACATTGCTCTGAGAGGGGCAAGAAATTAGAGTTATTGGTGGTAACAAGGTTTTGACAATATGTAATTTAAATAACCAAGCTCTTCATGCCATCTAAGACTTCAAGTATTAGAGAATTTTGCAGACCTGTAGTTCTTACTTTGTAATTCCAGACAAAAATGTGAAGTTCTTTTTACCTTAGGTTATTCCCACAACAATATAAGAAGCTCCAAAATAATTCAGATACTGGCTTTGGATTTCTTCTTTACTAATTTTAGCCCCTTTCCTCCCCGTGTCTGGACTTACACAAGTATAACCTCTCCTTCCATTCCTCATCTGCCTCCGTCCTGGTGGTCATTAGCCAGGCTTCTCTAAAAGGGGCTGATATCTGGACTCAGCCTAAAGGGTATTCTCTCACAACAGGTAACTTGGACCGGAGTTCCAAGACACTAGAAACCTGCAAGAACATTGGTGGACACTGGAAGCCCCAGGGACCAGGAAACAAGCAAGTCAATGAAGTAAGAACTCTTTCTTAGTTCCTTGAGAACTTACCAGACCTCCAGGACCATTTATTTCCTCTAAGCTTTCCTTTGTCTAGACATATCACAAGTATTGGCGCTTCCAACATGTGTAATGGAAGCAATTTTTAAAATGGGATTTTGAGCTATTTTATGGCTACATCAAAGTTGAGAATGTTTATCTTTTTTTCCTGTGGTTAATTTTTTCTATCAGATAAATCAAGAACTTCTTATGACTTCCATGCAAGCTGCTCCTACCATTGTCTTTGGCTGCCTTTCCCATGACAGATAAAAGAAGTGTGAAATTTTAAACCCTGGATACTTCTTTGGTTTTCTTTTATTACATCCTCAAGGTTCATGATCATCTTCAGTATTAATTGGTGGCATATTTATGGGCATTCTCTTAGAGAAGATGTTTTATAAATGCAGATATAATAACAGGTACTTAAGAGTTCAGTTTTAGTAGACTTCTTTACCTCCATGTATATTTATGGCAACTTCTATAAGTGTAGCTTGCTTTTTAAAAAAATTCTTTATGTGTATTAAAAGTGTAGTTTTCTTGCTGTATCTGAGTGTATATGCATGCCTGCCCATATATGCCTATAAATGCACCTTTTGTCCATCGACATACCTGTAAGAGTACCTTTGCGGTACATGTATGGGTATCCCTGAATGTGACTGAAATGCTTTTTTCTAACTTAACTGTCTGCTTGTGTGTGCATGCTTATTTGTATGTGTGTTTTCCATCCTTTTGTCTGAGTGTATCTTGTGTATTTTGACACCTGAGCTTTTTTGTATGTGTTTGGAGCTATGTTCCTGTCTACTAACATCATTTAAAAAATATATTTTATTGATTTTTCACAGAGAGGAAGGGAGAGGGATAGAGAGCTAGAAATAATGATGAGAAAGAAATATCGACCAACTGCCTCCTGCCCCCCACCGGGGATGTGCTCCCAACCAATGTACATGCCCTTGACTGGAATCGAACCTGGGACCCTTTAGTCCGCAGACCGACTCTCCATCCACTGAGCCAAACTGGTTTCAGCCACCACTAACATTTTACTTGAGGGTTTGTACAGATGTGCTTATGTCAGCATGAGTCAGTCTATCTGGGAGCAAGTGTATTTGGACATATATGACTATAGCGCTATGGCTAAAGCTTGCCGAGCAATGACAGCTGCGAATTCAACCCCTAGTGGCTTAGCTTTTCCTATTACCAGACTTCCACTAGAATATTGCTGCTCAGAAGTAGCCTTCTAATTACAGCAATTCAGGCTTGTCTCATAACAGCCTAGAGACGCTTGGCCAGAGAGATATATCATGGAGTTGACAGTTTGTTTGTTTTTTATTTTAGTTTAGGAGTTGCAAAGTGATGCCCAGAAGAAAAGGTCTATGGCACTGGGCTTGCCTTCTTCTGTTCCATGCCATTGCTCAATTGTCAGCCTTCTCTTACTTGGTCCAGATTCAAGTTGATCCAATTCCTTCAAATAAAAGGGCAGTGACAGGGATGTCTGGGCACTTATTTCATTTATCAAGGTCTCTTTTTACTCAGAGAACAAATGATCAGCATTTTCCTAATCAGTAATTTGTGTATGCTCAAAAACAGCAATTATTGATAGTTATTTGTGATAAAGCCCTTTCCCTGGGGAAGCTAGCCTTTGAAAGGCCCCAAGAGGTGAAATACATGGAAGTGGTTCCCATAGGATAAAATATCCACACTTTATGGTTTTAGGGAAGTGATGGGTGTCATCAAGAAAACCGTGGGCAGGGGTGGGGGGTGCTCTATGGGATCCACAGGGCTTCAAATGTTTAAACAATAGTTTTTGAGGCCCTATTCAGCCCTTCATTCTCCTATGATAGTAAAATAATAGTAATAATAATGGTTTAGATCTCTTCGATACTTTACAAAATGTTTTCAAACCCAAAGTTTTGTTTCACCTCATGGCATCCCTGTCAATAAGTCTCACCCTCCTTTTGTACATAAAAACTCTGAGACTCAAACAGGGGATATGACTTATTTAAAGGTACCCTGCTGATAAATGATAGAGTCAAACATTCTGTATGACTTCAAATCAGGATATAGGACCTAGATTGATGCTCTGCCTGCCTTTCAGAACCTGAGAAAATCCATACAGGAGCAACATTATTTTTCAAGGGACTAACTCAAGATAAATTAAAAAGAAGTTTAGTGGTAAGTTGCAATATTCAAGACTTCTTACAGAGAGTGGAATTTGAAGGATGGTAAGGAAGTAAATAGGCAGAGCAGAGGGAAGTAACTGCATAAGATGTATGTGTTATGACCAGGCGTGAACCACTCTCTTGATCCCCTGGAAACAGTTCCAGCTGGACTTTTACTAACAATATCAGGAGTCCAAGGGAGCTACTCTTTACATGTATGCATACCTTATAGCTAAGAGAACACTTTGAAGCATATAGTGCCATTTAAATCCCACAGCTACCATGGGAAGACTGTTACCTCCATTTTTCAAATAATAAAATAAAACTGAGGGAAAAGAAAGGACTTCCCTGAGGTCAAAAATCAAGTTCATAACAGACTCAGGGTGGACCTTCTTGTGGCTACAAGCTCAGTTTCCTGATGTCTATTTTCACTTGGGAAAGATGGCAGGATATCTGCTGTAGGTCTTAAAGCATATAGACCTAGCCATATAAATGCTCTATAAGAGACACAACTCAGAACAAAAGAGTCACACAGAAAGTGAAATAATAGAATATACATGCAAATAGAAAAAAAAAGCTGGTGTGGCAATAATTACATCTGACAAAATAGACTTCAAAACAAAGGCAATAAAAGAGACTAAGAAGATCAATACATAATACTAAAGGGATCGATCCAACAAAAGGATAAAACTCTTGTAAACATATATGCACCCAATATAGGAGCAACTAGATATATGAAGAAAATGTTGGTGGACTTTAAGGGAGAGATCAATAGCAATACATTCATAATAGGTGATTTTAACACCCCACTGTCATCACTGGATAGATCTTCCAGACCAAAAAATAAAAATTAAAAAAATCAACAGCAATCTTAAATAACACACTAGAGCAGATGGATTTAATTGATATTTACTGAACATTGCATCACAAAGCAGTAGAATATACATTATTCTCAAGTGCAAATGGGATATTTTCAAAGACAGATCACATGTTAGGACACAAAGTAAGTCTTGAAAAATTCAAGAAGGTCGAAATCATATCAAGTATGGCATGAAACTAGAAAGCAACTACAGTAAAAACAAACAAAACAACCATAAAAATATTCAAACCGATGGAGGCTAAATAGCATGTTATTAAACAATAAATGGGTTAACAATGAGATTAGGAAGAAATAAAAATTACCTGGAAACAAATGAAAATGAGCACACAACAACCCTAAATCTGAGGGACACAGATAAAGCATTCCTGAGAGAGTAGTTCATAGCCTTACAGGACTGCCTCAATAAAGAAGAAAAATTATTAATAAACTATATAATCCTATAAATTAAAGAATTAGCAAACAAAAAAGCCCACAGTAAGTAGAAGGTAAGAAATACTGATTAGGATAGACATTAATGATATAGAGACTAAAAAAAAAGTACAAAAGACCAGTGAAACCAAGAGCTTGTTCTTTGAAAAGACAAACAAGTTGATGAATCTTTAGCCAGTTTCATCAAGAAACAAAGAAATGGGACCCAAATAAATAAAATCAGAAAAGAAGGAAGATAAGTAACAACTGACACCGCAAAAATACAAAGGATTGTAAGAAAACACTGAACAATTATAGTTGGAAGGCAAGTTGGGGGGGGGGGGCTGTAAGCGATCAACCGAAGGACTTGTATGCATACAAAACATAACCAATGGATATAAGACATGGGGGGGGGGGTGATAGGTGAAGGCATATGCAGGGGAGTAGGGGAGGCTGGAGGGAGGTCAAGGGGGAAAAAAGGAGACATATGTACTACTATTTGTAATGCTTAAAACAATATAAATAAATAAATAAATAAATAAATAAATAAATAAATAAATAGAAAACACTGAACAACTAACTATAGGTGAACAAATTGGACATCCTGGATTAATGAACTAATTCTTAAAAACATACAATCTTCCAAAACTCAATCAGGAAAAATCTGAAAATCTGAATAGTCCGATAACAACTAATGAAAATGAAGTAATACTTTAAAAATTCCCAGCAAACAAAAGTCTTGGGCAGAGTGGTTTCACAGGGGTGTTTTACCAAATAGTCAAATAAGAACTAAGATCTATAATCCTCAAACTATACCAAAAATTCCAAGAGGAAGAAATACTTCCAAGCTCTTTTCATGAGGCCAACATTATTTTCATTCAAATAATTAAAGACACCACAAAGAAAATTACAGGCCAATATCCCTGATGACCATAGATGCTAAAATCCTCAACAAAATATTAGTAAATTGGATCCAGCAATAGGTTAAAAACATCATATGCCATGACCAAGTGCGATTTATTCCAAGGATGTAAGGCTGGTACAGTATTTGCACATCAATAAACAAGATAAATCATGTGATACATAAACAGATTGAAAGACAAAAATCACATGTTCATATTACTAGATGCAGAAAAAAAATTGACCAAATCCAATACCCATTTTTGATAGAAACTCTCAACAAAGTGTAATAGAAGGGTCATAACTCAACATAATAAAGGTCATATATGAAAAAAAAAAAAAAAACTACAGTCAACAGTATAGTCAATGGGCGAAAATTAAAACCATTTTTCCTAAGAATCAGAACAAACCAGGGTTGTCTAATTTCACAACTCTTATTCAACATAGTACTGGAAGTCCTAGCCAAAGTGATGAGACAAGAATAAATAAAAGGCATCCAAATTGGAAAGGAGGAAGTAAAACTGCCATTATTTACAGATGACATGATATTGTACATAGAAAATCCTAAAGACTCCACCAAAAAAACTACTAGATTATTCAATGAATTTGGCAATGTAGCAGGATGAAAAAGCAA